ACTGAGGCAACTACAACCGCCTTGACCAGCTCAGTTTCAACACATGCAACTCAAGCAACTGAAACCTCCAAAGCAGAGTTCACTCAGGAGTCCACAACCTCTCCAAGCAGCTCTGCTTACACAGACACAGTTGTATCTCCTGTGACACCCTCCACCTCTTTCCTGACTGAGGAACCAAAAATTTCCCAAAGCAGCCCAATTTCAACAGATGCAACTCAAGGTACTGAAGCATCACAAATAACAGTGTTCACCCAGGAATCCACATCCTCCCCAAGCAGCCTGATTTCAACCCATGCAACTCAAGCAACAGAAACCTCAAAATCAATTGTTACTCAGGAGTCTACAGCCTCCACAGGCAGCTCGGTGTTGACTGAAACAGCTGTCTCCCCCGGGAGCTCCCGCACCACAGGTCCAACTGAGTCACCCTCAGCCTCCCACAGCAGCCCAGTTGTGACAGAAGCCACTCAATCTCCTGAGTCTTCTCTAACAACAGTCATCACCGAGAAATCTACAACCTTCCCAGCCAGCTCAGTTTCATCAGAAACTGCTGTACCTCCTGATGTCACCCACACTTCTTTCCTGACTGAGGCACCTGCTACTTCCCAGAGTAGCCCGATTTCAACACATGCAACTCAAGCCATTGAGACCTCCAAAACTGTCTTCACTCAGGAATCTACAGACCCTCCCAGCAGCTCAGTTTTCCCAGAAACAGCTCTACCTCCAGACACATACTTCACTTCAGCTCCGACTAAGGAATCAACAACATCCTCAAGTGCCCTGGTTTCTACACAAGCCACTCAAGGAACTGAGACATCCCCAACAGTCTACACTCAGGAATCTACCATCTTCACAACTCCCTCAAGGTCATCAGAAACTGCTGTGGCCCCTGAGAGCTCCCACACCACAGTCCAACCTGAGGCATCTACAACCTCTCCGAGCAGTTCAGTTTCAACACATGCAAGTCTACTCACCGAGACATCACAAATGACGCTGTTCACCCAGGAATCCACAACCTTCCCAGGCAGCTCAGGTTCCAAAGACACAACTGTACCTCCTGAGAGCTCCCACACAACAGTCCAGTTTGAGGCCTCCACAACCTCCCCGAGCAGCTCAATTTCAACACAGACATCTCAACCCACAGAGTCATTCCAAACGACTCTCTTCACTCTGGAAACCACAACCTTCTCTAGCAGCCCAATGTTGACAGAAACCACTGGGCCTCCTCAGATCACTCACACCACAGTCCACA